CAGGATGTACCCTCCTCCACCTCCAGCCCTTCCGTCCTCAGCACCTTCGGGGCCGCCCCCACCACCACCACCTCCGTCCTTGGCGGGCTCCACAGCACCACCCCCACCGCCGCCTCCTCCGCCACCCCCGGGGCCGCCCCCGCCCCCTGGCCTCCCTTCTGATGGTGACCATCAAGTTCCAGCTTCTGCAGGAAACAAAGCAGCTCTTTTAGATCAAATTAGAGAGGGTGCTCAGCTAAAAAAAGTGGAACAGAACAGTCGACCAGTGTCCTGCTCTGGGAGGGATGCACTTTTAGACCAGATTCGACAGGGTATTCAGCTGAAATCTGTAAGTAATCTGTTCTTTCCATTTTAGATTGTCATAATGGGATTTTAAAGCAATTTATGAGTCACCTTTGAAAAGCCTTTATGTTTACTTTTTCTCCTAGTATTCGGTTTTTAACCCATGAGTTTCTGATATTTTAATACATCACAAAAGGTGCAAATTTATACCTAGACCTGCTGCTAACCTATACTTCTGTATCAAAATATCACTCCAGAAAGTTCCCTCATGCCTATTCCCAGTTAGTCCCCCTCCAAAAGAATCACTGCTTTCGTTTCCATCACCATAGATTAGTTTTGCCTATTTTAGAACTTCATATAAATGGAGTTGTATAAATGTTTACAATTCATTTTTCTAGACTTTACTTTTAAGTAAAAGGTACTTTAATTTAAAGAAAAACTTGGTGTTAAAGTATGGAGAAGCAAAAACAGCCCTGCTTGAAACCCATTATAATCACCTAGGTAAATTCAAATCAGTAACTTCATAAAACAAAATTATATTCTAAAGATTAGGTGTTCTGAAGTTTAGATGAGTAGTGAGTGAATCAGGCTCTACAGAAAATTTATTATCGAGTTCTAATAGAATTTCTGACAGTGATGGCAGATGGGATTCTCTGAATTGGATGAAAGGATCATTTCATCCTCTAGACCAGAGGTTTTCTTTTAAGGACCAGAGTAAATATTTGAGGCTTTCAGGTCATATGGCCTCTGTCACAATTACTCAGCTCTGCTATTGTACCACAAAAGCAGCAGCCATACACAATATGTAAATGAGAGGGCGTGATTGTGTTTATAAAACTTTATGGACAGTAACATTTGAATTTCATATAACTTTTATGTATTACAAATACTCTTGATTTTCCTTCAACTATTTAATGTAAATATCATTCTTAGCTTCAAGGCTATACAAAAGTGGGCTAGACCAGCTTTGGCCCCTGGGTGATCCTTTGCCAGCCCACCTGGAGCCTAACCTGCCTGCACTCAGAGCTTCCTTCTGGGCCTTTCTATGGAGTAATAGGCCCTCCATTCCAAGAGGAACATGTGCTCTGCAGGGCTTCAGACTGGCCATGGATGGTAGATTTTTTTCTATGCAGTAAATGTAGACAAACGAAGGAGATTTTAATGGAAAATTATTTTGCAGTGCAGGGAATTATGGTAACTTTCTCAGAAGTTTTGGCTAGGAAGAGAATGGTGGATGGGGAACACATGAATTGAGTGCAAACATTCGAACATTAGCGTAGCACAAATTTAAGAAACTTCTAATTGCTAAAATGCCTGACTCTTGTTGACATGTATTCAGGATGATCCTTAGATCAGCCTGCGAAAAATCACCTCTGCTCCCTCTCCCCATTTAGTTCAGACTGTTCCTCAGGAGCAGCTGAAGAACTTAAGAATAGTTGTTACTGGAAAGAATTAGCCTCAAAGTGACCACAGCCCGGGGGAAGAGTAGATTTTAGCAGTCATCCACTTTCAGCTTTTCCCCTGTAATCTATGCCCGTTCCTGTGTCACTCTCTTTCCTGCATCTCTCATTCATAACCTACCTTTTTGTTTCTCTTTTCTATTTCCTCTTCTCTACAACCAGCTCTTGTTTATTTTTCTCATTTAGTTATAAGAAGGTGTTTTATTTTTTTTTAAATTTTTTAAAGATTTTTATTGGGGGGTTGGGGGATGGGAACAGCGCTGGGGAATTGGGGGAAGGGAAACAGACAAGTTGCTGTTCTTTTGTTCCTCGGTCTAGTTGTGGAGGATGTTGCTTCACTGGCCCAAGTTGGCACCATCATTGCGCTCTTCCTGGGCGAGGCAGATCAGTCGCCGGCTTCTGGACTGCC